GGCCTGGGCGCTGTCCCTCAGCTCTTCAGCTCAAGGCTAGCGCTCTACCACTTGAGCCACAGCGCCACTTCTGGCTTTTTTCTTTTTGCTTAAGTGATGATGAGGAATCAAACCCAGGGCCTCAGGCATGCAAGGCAAGCGCTCTACCGCTGAGCCACCTTCCCAGCCCCCTCTTTTTGTTTTTCTTAGTAACTCACCTCCTTCTCTCTCTCATAGTCTTCTTTGTCATATTCTTCATCTTCATTTTGTGTCTGCAGTGCCACACTGCCGAAGTCTAATGACATGGTCCTCCTATGGGAAAGGGAAGATGTTTGAGTTCAAAAATGCCCATCTATCCAGAACTACGTATACAATGCCAAAGACAATAGCCTTGGAAGAAAATACACATGACACATATGAAAAACAGTATATACACAAAAAATAAGATATTAATACTATATATACAAAAACTAAGATAATAATAAACTAGAATACCAAAGAGAAAAATCTTGAGAATAAGCTCAAAGGAAATTTCAAAGTTGATGTATTATACATGACACAGGCAGGATCCCCTGTAGTTTACTCCATTGTTTGAACCCAAACCCAAATTTCATGCTTTACAAAGAGAAAGTCTCTAAATCCTGAGCATAATGACTATTCCCCGAGAAATCATTTACAATCTGTTAAAAACCATAGAGTGCACAACAAAAACGGACTTAGATGTCCTGCTCTTAAGCATGTAAAATCAGATTCTGGCAAAACTCTTAAGTAGTGAAGGATATGAAGCTATATCATTATGAGGTTCCAGTTCCACAGGGAAGAGGAAGAGATGAATTTTAAACCCAAGATAGGCTAATTACTTAAATTTCACTCAAGGATCCTGATGCTGCACCTAAAATCCCCACAATTTCAAAACACTGAACAATTCTGACCAAGTATCATTGATTATCTGGTCTAATACCGTTCTCTGCTCATTCATAAAGGAAACACTTGACAAACATAACCACAAAAAGATTTGTATAAGGCAAAAGATATCATTAATAAATCAAATACTACGTATCAAAAATACAACACTAACAAAGTCAAAAGATAAAATTCTTTTTTGTTGTTGGTGGCCGTGGTCTTGAACTCTGGGCCTGGGCGCTGTCCCTCAACTCTTCAGGTCAAGGCTAGCGCTCTACCACTTGAGCCACAGCGCCACTTCCGGCTTTTTTTTTTCTTTTTGCTTATGTGGTGCTGAGGAATGAAACCCAGGGCTTCATGCATGCAAGGCAAGCGCTCTACTACTTGAGTCACAGCACCACTTCCAGCATTTTCTGTTTATGTGGTGCTGAGGAACCAAACCCAGGACCTTAGACGTGCGAGGCAAGCACTCTACCACTGAGCCACATTCCCAGCCTCCAAAAGATAAAACTCTAGCAACTAGAAAAGTATTTGCAAAACAGTCTCACCAGATACATTTTGCAAGGAAAAGGAAACACAGTTCAAAATGGACAAATAATTTATTAAAAATAAGAAATAAAAATGTTCAATTAATTTGAAAAAGCTGAGCTTATGGAGAATTCAAGGAATAAGATGATACTTTTAACCACTTACATGAAGGAAAAAAAAACACAAAACAGTAAAACCCATTGTTGGCTATTTTGTGTGGTTTATAAACTGCTGGTGAAAATACGAACTGCTAAAACCAGCTTGAAAACCATTGATATTAACATATGGAAAAACAAACATTTGCCTGAGTCAAACTAGTTCTGAATTCGGAAATACTATTCCACACTAGTAAAACTAGTAAATATTTCCATGTATCTTGACTCAGAAGATTTACTGTTTAAAGAAATCAAAATGCAAACTGAGTATGCTGTATTCTTTTGAAAACATTGCTGACTAAGATCTTCAGTCTAGAAAGGATTTTTGTTCCAAAGCCATTAATAAGAATATTAAGGGGGGGCTGGGAAGGTGGCTCAGTGGTAGAGCGCTTGCCTTGCATGCATGAGGCCCTGAGTTCTATTTCCCAGCACCACATAAGCAAAAAGAAAAAAAGCCGGAAGTGGTGCTGTGGCTCAAGTGGTAGAGCGCTAGCCTTGAGCTGAAGAGCTGAGGGACAGCACTAAGGCCCAGAGTTCAGGCCATGACGGGACCCAAAAAAAAAAAAGAATATTAAGGGGCTGGGAAGTTGGCTCAGTGGTAGAGCGCTTGCCTTGCATGCCTGAGGCCCTGGGTTCGATTCCTCAGCACATAAGCAAAAAGAAAAAAGCCAGAAGTGGCGCTGTGGCTCAAGTGGTAGAGCGCTAGCCTTGAGCTGAAGAGCTGAGGGACAGCACTAAGGCCCAGAGTTCAGGCCCCACAACCCGGCCCAAAAAACAAAAAAAAAGAATATTAAAAAGTGTATCTATCCTTTAGTTCTACTTTGATCAGTCTACTTACTTAACACTGACTGTGTTGTCCCTATTTTCTTTGCCCTCCTTGCAAAGAAACTATAGATGTGTTTGGTAGGACAAAATATCCCAGTTTTGTTTTGCTTTTTAAGTAGTACTGTTTTGGACTCCTTTAATAAATTATAAGCACCCTGTAGGCAGAATTAAAATGTATCTGCTCCTAGTTGCTGAGTTAATGTTACCCAGTAGGAATTCATTATTTCAATAAAATTTTATTGAATATCATGAAGAATGAATCCACAGTATATCCCACATGCAGGCAAGAAAGACATGGTACCAGCTCAGTGATATAAAGAAATAGTTGCAATGGTGCACTGTAATAAATTCTGCAGAAGGAAATACATGGCACAAATTAATTTGGGCACCAGACTGAAAAGGAGAACAGAAACTTTACAGAAATAGGGGGAAAAAAAGAGCCTTTACATTAGAAATAGACCTTGAAGGACACAATAAGGTTACGTGGTTAAGGAATAAAGACCTTTATTCAGACAACCTGGGCTCGATTTTGGCTCTTCTACTTATCACCTGTGCAATCTTAAACTGCTTTCACTTCTGCATTAATGAATTGGATGTAAACAAACAAAAACCGGCCTCCACCTATATCTGAGCAAAGACAAATGGGACAACCAGTGGGAAACCTTCAATTAATACAAATTCATCTTCCTGATACTGTCCCCCACAAAATAAGTCACTTTCAGACTGTATTCACAAGCTCATGGGCTTCAATATCAAACCGTCTTACCTTAGCTGAATGCAACTACCCATCTAGGGACTGCATGTGAACTGGCAGGCATTATGAAGGTTATCTAGTAAAATTCAACCTAAATCAAGACTCATTTTCATGACCTCCAGATGTAATAGCTAGGGGCTGGGAAGGTGGAGCGCTTGCCTTGCATGCTCAAGGTCCTGGGTTCGATTCCTCAGCACCACATAAGCAAAAAGAAAAAAGCCGGAAGTGACACTGTGGCTCAAGTGGTAGAGCGCTAGCCTTGAGCTGAAGAGCTGAGGGACAGCGCCCAGGCCCAGAGTTCAGGTCCCATGACCGGAAAAAAAAAAAAAAAAAAAACAGATGTAATAGCTAAATGGCTGTAGAGGGGGTATCAGAATCGCTTCTGGAAGTCAGGAAATTCCACTTCATTCCGCGAACAGGTTAAACTTCTTTCCGAATCTACCACACCTGGCGGGAGACGCCCCACCTCAAGCCTTCATCAGGCACTGGTTTCCAAGATTACCAAGGACCACGGTGGAGGGAAACACCACACAAGACGTCTTACAACAATGGGTGTCAACACCTTGAGTTTAGGACTCGGGACAGCTGGTGGGACAAACAGATCCAGGAGGATCCAAGGCAAGAGACTGTGAAGTGAAAAAGGAGCAAGTATATAGCATGCCCCCGCCCCACCCCCCCGATTGAGGCAGGTGCCCATGGACTGAACTACATACAGTAAAGGAAATAAATAGATATATTTTTTAAATGCATAGTACTGCACCCCCGCAGGACCTTACCGAAGCTCAACTCTCAGCCTGGATCAGGCACCGCGAGTGCAAAGCTGCAGGGAGGAGGAGGAGGAGGAGGGGGGTCCCAGAGCCCCTGGAACTGCAGGCTGTGGGAGGCGGAGGCGTCAGCTGGCCCGGGTCAGCACGCGTGCGCAGAGCGCCCACTGTGAGCCAGGCATGGCGCCAGGGAGACGGCCGCGGGGATCCCCCGGCGTAGAACTTCGGCCCGTCCCTCAGCTCCGAACGCCGGGAGAAAAAAAGCTCCGCGGACGTCACTCGCCGGGACGGGGTCTGGGAGGGGGCGAGGGGAACAGGAAGAGATTTCGAAGATGTCACACACTCACACACACACACACACAAAGCTGACCGCCGCCGGCCGCGGCCCGGCCCACCATTACCATTGGGGGAAAGCGGGGAGCAAGTCGGTCTAAGATGCCGAAGACTCCATCACGCCCTCCACCCCGGCCCCAAGCCCAGTCACGGAAGGGAACTCACCGGAGGTCACTGTCTGTCCACCTGAAGACCAACTTGGAGCAACACCCACCCCCCAACACACACACCAGGTACTCTGACTTTAATCCGCCAGCTGTCTTCCTAGTCACAACCAAACACGGAACCCTAGAAGGGCAGCCGCTTCGTCCAATCACCTGCGAGAACCTCGCCTGGTGGGCGGGAGCCTTGCGTGCTCCGGTGGCGGAGAAAGCGGAAGTCTCCGCCTTCCTCAAGCTTGGTTGAGAAGTCCTCCCGCAGTTGTGAACTAGGACGGCTGTTTGAAGCGGGCGCCAAAGGTGGCGGGAAGCTTGTCCTGGGCTCCCATTGGTGAATTTGTAAGCCAATGACGAGAGGGTTGACTCCGGGAGTGGGTGGGCTTATCGGTTACCTAGAGACGCCGGGAGCACCTGGCCTGCTTTCCTGGAGTTAGGCTGTGGACTGGCCTTGTAAGAACTTTGCTCCAGCTTCAGATTTAACTGGATCTGTTTTGTTTAGAATCAATATTCCATTAATTCCTATTCAGATGCTACATTCTCCCGCGTGTCTCTTCACTACATAAACCTGGATTTGCCTGGATAATGTGAATGTAGGGCCTGTCACTGTGTCTATCTTCCAAGAAATGGGTTAAAATCCTTTAAACCCCATCCCCGTGAGGTCAAATGGTTGTCCAGAGTTCTTCACGTTCTGGTCTAGTTCTCTAATGTCCCCAGCAACTCGCATAGAGACTGACACGTAAGAGCTTGATCTAGGAAAAGAGAATAACAGGCTGAGTTACCCAATGTCCCCAGGGTGCTTTGTTTTTCTCCCTCCGTTTCTTTCTCTGTATTACCCTACCTTAGTCTTGATCAGTCTTCTTCAACACCTCCTCTTTCATGGCACACTTAGCAGAATGGATCCTCCTTTGGCCAGTCCTGGGGCTTGAACTCAGGGCCTGGGCACTGTCCCTGAGTTTCTTTTGCTCAAGGCGAGCACTCTACCACCTGAGCCACAGCGTCACTTCTGGCTTTTTCTGTTCATGTAGTACTGAGGAATTAAAATCAGGGCTTCATGCAGGTTACGCAAGCACTCTACCACTAAGCCACCTTCCGAGACCTTCTAACTTAAATACACAGTGTGCATTGCCCATTCTGAGGTGGGATGTTTCTCATGTCTGTTAGAATTAGTGGTTGTATGTCTGTTTCACTCAGCTCAACAATGTGAATATCTTGACATATCTACTTTGCTTCCTGGGAATTCTGCCAGCTTGCTTCATGGTCCTTGGTAGGCACTTAAGACATTGGTATTAAACTGTGTTAGGTGAGTGAATAAATAAAAAGGTAAATGAGACGGGCACTGGTGGCTCACACCTGTAACCCTAGCTGTGATCTGAGGGTCATGGTTCAAAGCCAGCCTGGGCAGGAAAGTCCCTGAGACTTTATCTCCAATTAACTACCAAAAAACAGGAAGTGATGCTGTGGCAAAAGTGGTAGATCACTTGCCTTGAGCTGAAGAGCTGAGGTACAGCACCCAGGCTCAGAGTTCAAGCCCAACAACCAACAACAATAACAAAAGAAGTAGAGTCTCATGGGCTTTCTTTCCCAAGACTGGCTTTAAACTGTGATCCTGAAATCTCAGCTTCATGAATAGCTGGGATTATAGGCATGAGCCACCAGCACCTGGCAACAGCTACTTTTGAGATCCCACTGAAGTTCAGTTATCACACTGAGTCTGGTGTTCAGTACTGAGACTTATATTGGAATACTATGGCAAAATGTGACTACTTCAGCCAACAAAGCTGTGGCTCAAGTGGTAGAGGGCCAGCCTTGAGCACAAAATCCTAAGGGACAGCACCCAGGCCCTGAGTTCAAGCTCAGGTAATGATGTGCGACAGACACACACACACACACACACACAAACACACACACACACACGTCAAAAAGAAAGAAGGCCCAAGAGAGAAGAGAGACTAACCTTAACTGGTATGACAATTCGCATGAAGCTAAGTCCACAGAAAGTGAAGGACACCTGGAGCTAGAGATAGGTATGTAGGGGCAGACAGGAAGGAGGAGCCTGTAGAAGAGCTTGAAGGAAGGAGTAGGAAATGCATTCTAGAGAGGTTAGGTATCCTGGTACACACAAAGAATGCACTTGACATGTCCAGAAAATACTCTTGGGCAGAGGCATTTCAAGGTGGTGAAGACAAGTGTGAAAAATGACCAAACATCTTAAATGCTGGGAAGAGGTTATTTGTGGGATGCTGGGTCAATATTTATTTGCCTTGCTTTTTTTTTCTAAGCAGACACACCTGTGAACTTGGTGCCCCCACTCACTTCTGCCAGATGTGTTTACATTTGAAGGGGGAAATGTCATATTTTTGATGAGCTGACATCTCTTCTACTAACAAGTATTTGTATAAAAGCAGAGTTAAACCATCCTTCCTTTTCTCTAGATTCTCTTTGTTATCAGTGGTATCGGAACAAAGCAATTTCCTCACTAAATTGTGATCTATAATGCCATCCTCAAAGTGCTATCCTTTAAAGAGCACTGAATTTAGAGTAATACAAATCAAGTTTAATGGTCATCTCTTTTCTACTAGCTTTGGTCCACACCAATTTATTTAACCCTCAAAAGCCTCCAAGTCCCTATCTAGCAATAGGAATGATAATAATACCTACTTCTCAGAATTATGGGGAAAATGAAATGAGGGGGAATTGTGTGAAAGAGTTTTTACAATGCAGAAACAGCCCAGTGCTGGTGGCTCATACCTGTAATCCTAGCAACTCAAGAGGCTGAGGTTTGAAGATTACAGTTCAGAGCTAGCCCATGCAAGAAAGTCTGTGAGACTCTTCTCTCCAAAGAAACTTGGAAGTGGTGCTGTGGCTCAACGTGGTAGAGCACTAACTAGACTTGAGAAAAATCACTCAGGGAAAGCACCTAGACCCTGAGTTCAAGCCCCACAACCTGGGGGAAAAAAGCAGAAACACTGAAGGTTTTTTTTTCTATTGTTTATATAAAGCTTATTAGGCTCTGAGGGACTGAGAAAGGAAAATAGCACTGCCCCAACCTAAATCTTGTTTTTTTATATTGTACTCTACTTTCTTATCATTCACTCATTCAACAATCTTTTTTGAGCATATACTCTGTGCCAAGCACTGTTCCAAAGGCTTATTTAATCATGTCTGATGGTTCCAAATGCCTGGCTTGTTCACATCCCTTCTCACAGAACCTGGTCCTGCTAACAACCACAGTGACCTCACCACCATTGCTACCTCAAGAACTCCAGTACTATCCCTTCTGATAACAGATTCAGATATCTGAAATTGCTACTTGGGAGTACTCTGAAGCTGAGTATCATGGTGGCCAAACCAAAGAGAAGCAGCCTCATTTGTCTGTTTTGCAGGAAAGAGGCTATGCCCATGTCCATGTCTATAGGGCAGAGCTTTGACTAAAGACCATGAATTTCTGCCACTGACAGTCATTGGCTGGTTCCTGTATTAGTAGTTCAGCTTTTCTTGAATTCAAGGATGCCTGAATCTTCAAATTCCTCTTGAATTGAGCTGGCTTTGGTGATAGCGTAGTTGAATACTGTTGCCTCAAAATGTGTGTCTACTTGGAACTTAAGGATGTAACTTCATTTAGAAATAGGGTATTTGCATAAAAAATTAGGCCCTAAGTCTGATGAGTAGTGCCCTTCGGTATTAAGAGGATTTAGAGCTGGGTACTAATGGCTCACATCAGTAATCCTACTCAGGAGGCTGAGACTTGAGTCCAGATTTGAAGCCCAACCCAGACAGAAAAATCCCTGAGACTTTTTATCTCCCAGAACCAGCAATAAGCCAGAAGTAGAGATGTGGTTCAAGTGCCAGTCTTGAGCAAAAAACCCAAGCAAGAGTACAAGGCCCTGAGTTCAGGCCCTAGTACCCGCATTAAAATAATAATGGTGGTGATGATAAAGACGTAGACACGAAGAATAAAATCATGTGAAGTTGGAGGCCGTGGCTGGAGGTATTCTTCCCCAAGCCAAAGAAGACTAGGGTCAAAGGCTGAGGCCACCTTACTGACCATACTCTCTGATACTTTTTGAAGGTTGACTATCTTCAATGTCCTCAATGTCAATGTCCACCCTGACAGATTTTCTATGGGCTTTTCCATCCTCCTTTGAGCCCCAGGCGGCTGACTTCAGGACTACATCAAGGAACTCCCTTACTCTGTGTCAAATTTCTTAAGCCATCAGAGGATGCCGGAAGAAGATGAGAGATGGGGCAGGGCAGAGTCAGGTTAAAAATGCCACTAGCATGGGCTGGGAAGGTGGCTCAGTGGTAGAGTGCTTGCCTTGCATGCATGAGGCCCTAGGTTCGATTCCTCAGCATCACATAATCAGAAGTGATGCTGTGGCTCAAGTGGTAGAGTGCTAACCCTGAGCTGAAGAGCTGAGGGACACTGCCCAGGCCCAGAGTTCAGGCCCCCTGACCGACAAAAGAAAGAGGTTATGGTCCCCTTCTACAAAGCTCTCTGGATTCTATCACCACTCCCTCCCCTTTTCCTCTCACTGGGCCCCAAAGCATTGCATTTTCCCTTGTGGTTTCCCTATACCTTAAATTTTCCCCTTGATTAAACTCCTCACATTTCTAATTGGAATGAGCCATCTGTTTCCTGCCAGGATCCTGAGACAAATGGTAAAATGTCCAAATCTCCCAAATCAGACATGAGTTCTCAATTGTCACAAAGCAATAATCATTTATTTTTTAAAAAAAATTTTTTTTTAAAAAAAGCAATGAAGAAAGAAAAGTCATTTACAGGTATTTATAGGCAAATGGTTTCTACTTTGTTAATATTAGAACAACACACAGACATTTTGGATTTTGTTTTGTCTGAACTATGCCTGTGGTGTTTCTCAGCACAGGATTTGCTTATGTTATTACCGTACCATTACAATCAAGTACCAGTTACAGTGTGTGCTGCTCACGCCATTAATGCAGCAATTTGTATTTGGAGCTATTTCTTACTACCAGAAATGCTCTGCTCAGCCAAACTAGACATAGCCCTCCACTGTCTGTCAGAACACTGGTACGTTAAATCCACCCACATGTTTCTATTATCTAGAGCCATGCTGATTTCATTTAGAGGTGTACAGGGAAACTGTACACTGCACTTTCCATGACTTCCCAATCATATACAAGGAAACCTAAGAAGTCAATGGCAGCCAGCCATAAAATCAGAAGCCTTTATAAAGTATTCGAGTTCAGTGTGCTTAGTTTCTGATTTCTATTCAAAAGAAGGTTCCATGTTTCACTGAAAATTTCTCAACTGTCTCATAAGTGCAAAGAGGAAGTTGTATCTACTTCACCAAAGTGACAAGGGAATTAGGGAAACTGTATATCTCAGGATTTAAACAACAACAACACTCAATAGTAAAACCTTATCTTTATACACAAGTATAAAGGCAAATAAGGGAGGGAAGTACTTCTCTGCTTCCATTTGTACCACCATTTCCTGTATTTCTCTAGAATATCCTATGCTTTACTAAAAGGCTTGAGGATCTAAATTGTGTGAGTGTTGATCTCTATTATATCACTGTCCTAAAAATATAGACACAAAGACAAAAAACATCCAATCTTTAACTATACGGACTGCTTATCAACATGGATCTCTAACAAAAGAAATAAAACTGTTCTTTGGAAACTCATACTATGTCAGAAGTGAAGTCCATTTCTGAACTCACCTAGCCCAACTCCCTCATTTCATAGGCAAGAAAACAGAAACCTGTACAGATTTAGCAAGTTGCTCAAAGTCACAGAGATGTCTAGCTCTAGTAGTGCTTTTCCTTACACAGTGCTGAGTTACAGTTTACTAGTTGGCCTACATGTAGCAATTATTTCTTCGTTGTTTTGTTGATGTTGATCCTTATGAGGCCTGAACTCAGGGCCTAAGCACTGCCCCCAAGCTTCTTTTGCTCAAGGCTAGTGCTCTATCCTCTTGAGCCACAGCACTACTTCAGGCTTTTTCTGAGTAGTTTATTGGAGATGAGAGTCTCAGGAGCCAGGCACCAGTGGCTCACACCTATAATCTTAGCTACTTAGGAGGTTGGCATCTAAGGATTGCAGTTCAAAGCCAGCCTGGGCAGAAAAAGTCTGCAACATTCTTTACCTCTAATAATTAAACTACTGAGAAAAAGTCGGGAGAGGCACCGTGGCTCAAGTGGTAGAACACTAGCCCTAGGACCAGCAAAAAAAAAAAAAGTCTCACTGACTTTCCTTCCCGGGCTGGCTTTGAAACTAAGATCCTCAGATCTCAGTCTCCTGAGTAACTACATTATAGGCATGAGCCACCAACAGCCACTTGCTTGCAATTATTTCATTCAATGTGTTTTCTCACTTCTGCAATTTGTCTGATCATATGTAAACAAGGTACAAGGACACACGTAGGTGTAAGACCATGAATTAATGGCATTCAATGAAAAAAGAATCCTGTACTTTCAAATACAATCTGTAGGAATACATTTTGATATGAAGAGAACCAATTTGGATACTGAATAAGAAAAACACTGATTTTTTTGTTTGTCATCTTTTACATCCATGCATCATGACATCTTTTTTTTTTCCATGAAGGGAAAAGAATGTCCTAAGATCAGAAATGACTGTTCAGCTTCTCGTGTGCTGTAAACATACAGTCTAAATAGCAAGGCTGAGCAATAACAGGCCAAAGAATTTGGGCCCCAAACCTATAACCAGCAAATGAGACAGACCAAGAAAACAGACCAACACTTTTCAGTGGCTTTTGAAATTGACCCCACTGGGCATAGACAAGGTCTGAATTCAAGGTTGTATTTATTTCAACACTGCAGTGGGGAAAAAAAAGCTGATAAACATGAAATAAAGTCAGTAACTATCTGTTAAATTGCATGTTATAGTTTTCACAAGAAAAAAAAACACCTTATTTTTGGCAAATGGTTCTTAAGTTATAGAACATGAAGACACTTTAAACTCATCTCCCCCGTATGAAAATGTCCCCAGATTATCAAGTTGAAAGGCACATACCACTGCCTGAGCAGTTCGAGTTGTCTCTTTTGTGCTTTTAGCTTGCTATCAATGCAGTATGACCTTAAAAAGTGACGTCCGTGCATCTAGGTATAATTTCTTTTCAAATAAACCTATCTTCTTCCTCCTTTCTGACTTGCACTTCCTGAAGGTATTTTGTTAGTTCTTTGTTTTTATAAAAGACCTAGCCCGAGATGGTCTCTGGAAGATGAACTTCACAGTTTGTGCTCTGTTTTATCTACAGACAAAGTCAGAGTCATCTTTCAGAAATGGAATTTTCTTGGGGGGAAAAATCACTCCAATGGCACCTCAGTGTTGTCATTTCTTGGGAGGCAGAAGTCCTGGGTTATTGTCTTTTCTCACAGGTTGCTTAAGGCTTACTTCACTTCCAGAAGAGATGATTGGCAAACTGTTATCCATGTGGTATCTGATGAGGTGGCCCACATTATCGAAGACATGATCCTTGGTCCTCACCTTGAAAAGGAAGTACATATATATATATATATGTAGGTTAAATCACAGTAGTTCTTCTGAAAAAATATACACAATCAGTAGGAAAAAAAAATAACCCTAACATAGTAGATATGTGGATGGATAAGGAAATTATAAATTACTTTCCAAGGTTTTTGTTTGTTTGTTGTCTGAAACCAGGACTCAAACTTAGTACTTGATGCTTTTACTCTTTGACTGGCACTCTAACACCTAATCCACACCATCAATCCTCTAATATTTCTTTCATAACTGTATTTGTGTGTGTGTGTGTGTGTGTGTGTGTGTGTGTGATTTCTTTTTTGGTACTGGGGATCGAACCAAGGATGTTGCACTTTCTAAGCAAGTGCTCTGTCACTGATCTATATCCCAGCACTCCCTATACTGCTTAGTAAATAATTTTTTCATCTCTCATTACTCTGTGTGTGTGTATGCACATGTGTGCGTGCACATGCATGTGCATACACACTGGTACTGGGGCTTACACTCAACTGGGATTTAAACTCAAGTCCTGTGTACCTTTTCACTTAAGGCCAGCTCTCTACCACTTGAGCCACAGCTCTACTTCTGGCTTTTTGGTGGTGAATTGGTGATAAGGGTCTCAAAGACTTTCCTGCCTGGGCTGGCTTCACACCATGATCCTTGGATCTCAGCCTCCTGTTGTATGGAATTATGTGCATCGTGAGAATAAGAACTACTTATACGATATTGAACGAGACTCCACCGCGAATGCCTGCGCTTGCAGGTAGCAAAGCATTCACTGAATCCATTGAGTTGGACTGAGAAGAGCAGAAGGAGTTGTCCTCTATTTGATCGCAGGTCACCTACTCTGACACCCTAACCCTAAGTTAAAGATCCATAACTCAGCCTTGCACAGTAGTGGGTGTGGGGTTCGGGAGTGTTGTTGAGAGTCTCCTTTGCGAACGACATTCTGTGAAATGTGTCCTGTGCACTTGCGTGGTTACCTTGCCTTCAGGATCCACCAGGAGAAGATGTTTGGCCTGGCCTCCCTGCAGTCCACTCAGTACATACTGGCCGGGGGACGTGGCACTCTCTCGAACCAAAAAGTCCCCATCCTTTACCAAAAGGCCCTCTGCGGCCTTCCGGCTCAGCTTGCCGTGGTAGCATTCTTCATTCCACAGCTGCTGGCCGATGTGTGGCAGAGGCCGCGAGCTGCAAGGCTGGGCTGAGGCCCCGGGCTGCACGGTTTCTGGCGCCTCTGAAGTCAGAACACAAAGACACACATCACCCAGTTGCCTCCTCGTTCATCCAGCCCTCCATTCCCTCAGCAAATGTAACTTTGAGGTCCTCCTGGGTGCCTGGGGACTGCTGGACCCACACTAGATCTGCAACCAATGAAACGGTTGCTTTCAAAATTCCCACCAGGCTGTCAGGTCCCTTTCCACCCAGGCAGTACTAGTTCAGGTGCAAACATTTTTTCTTTCAGATGCGAAATGGAACCAACCCAGGAGAACCAACCCAGAGCAAAACCCTTCATGTCCCCAGGGCTGCGTGCTAAACAGAAAAATTAGGCTGCTGTATCCAGATTGCTGAAAACGTCTTCACGTCGATTATTTTAAAACAACAGAGCTTGCCAACATCTTAACATTTATCTCTTTTTTTCTCCTTTTTTAACATTTTTTTTCCCTTCACAGGTTGCATATTTATTAGCAAATTTACCAGGAAAATAACCATAGAAACCAGACTTGGTGGGTTTTGTTGTTGTTTTTGCTTTGGGGTTGTTTATTTATTTGGTGCCAGTCCTGGGGCTTGAACTCAGGGCCTGAGTGCTTCCCTTGAGCGTTTTTTGCTCAGTGCTAACACTCTTGAGCAACAGCTCTACTTCCAGCTTTTCGTGGTTAATTGGAGGTCAGAGTTTCACAGACTTTCCTGCCCAACCTAGCTTTGAACCAAGATCCTCAGATCAGGTGTGAGCCATCATGGCCCAGCAAAGACTTGTTGTTTTTGAAATGGAAACGATCTTGGGCATATAAACCAGCCTGCATCTGTTATTTGCATATCCAGTCTGAGAGATCTAAAGGTTGTCCTCTCTAGAGTGGGCCTCCAGCTCCACTGAGACACAAAGGATTAAGAAAGGTCTATTTGGGGCTGGGAAGGTGGCTCAGTGGTAGAGCGCTTGCCTTGCACGCATGAGGCCCTGGGTTTGATTCCTCAGCACCACATAAGCAGAAAAGGCCAGAAGTGGTGCTGTGGCTCAAGTGGTAGAGCGCTAGCCTTGAGCTGAAGAACTGAGGGACAGCGCCCAGGCCGAGTTCAGGCCCCATGACCGACCAAAAAAGAAAGAAAAAGAAAGGGTCTATTTATCTAGGCCCAATATAGGACAACTCTGGAAAAACACACAGGCCTCTGCGGGACTGGCCGAGATTCGATCAGACCTCCACTGAAGTCCATTCCCCTCCTCTTCACCAATCTCAATCCCTTCACACCCTACCTGGATGTGGCTCTCCACACTACTTCCATCTTAGTGTCATCCTTCAAAGATACCAAAACTGATCTTACAAAGTTTGCAAAAGAAGATAGACCCTTGTCTCCCTGGTTGGCAGTGAGGACTCTTGCCTTGGTCTAGAGAGTTTTTGGCCGTCCACTGAAGCCCAGGCCTAACAACAACAACAACAACAACCCTCCTTTGAAGTCCTGTCTGACCGCTGCAGCCATGTTGACTGCAGAGCTGCCTTTGGCAGGTAGAGGGGGCTTCCTGAGCCAGGGAAAGGCTGATCTCAGGGACTGGCTCTCCTAAGTTTGAAGCAAACCAAACTGGACCTCAAGAAGCCAATCTCTGAACCCAGCAAGCTTCAAGAGTTTTCTGAAAAGCTTTTTTGTTTGTTTATGTGTCAGATGATTGCAGATTTTGGGCTTATTTAGCTTTATTTGTGTTCTCATTTATGTATTTGCCCCAGGAAGCCATTTAACAGGACAGTGGTTTCTCTTACTGTGTTTTATTCACAGTTTATGGTTGAAGAAGGAAGCTATCTTATTTTAGTGCTGTGTAAATACCTTTTTTTTTTTTTTTTTGCTAGTCCTAGGGTTCCAACTCTGGACTTGGGTGCTGTCTCTGAGCTCCTTTTTGCTCAAGGCTGGCATTCTACCATTTGAGCCACAGAGCCATTTCTAGCTTTTTCTATGATTATTTGGAGACAAGAGTCTCATGGGCTTTCCTGTCCGGGCTGGCTTTAAACTATGATCCTCAGATCTCAGCCTCTTGAGTAGCTAGGATTACAGGCATGAGCCACTGGCACCCTGCCTGTGCAAATAATTTACAAGAGGTTTTGAAATGGACACCCTTATACAGAATGGATACTGTAGCCCTTGTTCTATCTTCTGAGTTGGGGTCTTCTTTCAGCAAAAACATACAAAGAAAAACAAAATGCTGAAAATATATTCAGTGTTTGAAAGGATTATTATTTTTTTTTTTTTGTCGGTCGTGGGGCTTGAACTCTGGGCCTGGGCACTCTCCCTCAGCTCTTCAGCTCAAGGAGAGCACTCTACCACTTGAGCTACAGCGCCACTTCCGGTTTTCTGGTGGTTTATTGGAGATAGGAGTCTCAAGGTCTTTCCTGCCCGGGCTGGCTTTGAACTGCGATCCTCAGATCTCAGCTTCCTGAGTAGCTAGGATTACAGGCGTGAGCCACCAGCACCCAGCTGAAAGGATTATTAAAAAACAAAGCCCCACTGAGATCAGGAGAATCATGGTTTGAAGCCAGCCCTGGTTAAAAAAAAAAATTAGTGAGACCTCATTTCAATGAACAAATTGGGTGTGGTAGTATATCTATAATCCTAGATGATATGTAATAGGTTTAAAAGGATCCCTGTCTGAGGCTGACTCCAGGAAAATGGGAGACCGATACAAAAAATAACTATAAACAAAAAAGGGCTGGGGGAATCGCTCAAGTGCTAGAGCAAGCCTGAGAACCCAAGTTTAATCCCCAATACCAACTGGACACCCAAAAAGATTTCCACAAAGTCTGATCTGTTATTAACTATGTTGAAGAATTGATGCAGAAAAAGAATATTTTTAATTCCCTAAAAAAAAAATGAAGCCAAGGGCCGGGCACTGGTAGCTCATGCCTGTCATCCTAGCTACTCAGGAGGCTGAGATCTGAGGATCACAGTTCAAAGCCAGCCTGGACAGAAAAAAATCCCCATGAGACTCTTATCTCACCACTTAAAACCCAGAAGTAGAGCTGTGGCTCTAAGTGGTAGAGCACTAGCTTTGAGCAAAAAGAGCTCAGGGACAGTGCCCAAGACCTGAGTTCAATCCCCATGACCGACAAAAAAATAAATAAATAATGAGAAATGAGAACTAAATAGAGTTTTCTCCAAAAGATATGCACAGGTTCTAGTTGCAGGCATTTATGAACAGGGAGCTAACATGGTGATCAGGGTCTTTACACATATAATTAAATTAAGGGTCTTGCGATGATCTTATCTCATGCCAACCTCCTCTAAGACAAAGAGGAGCTGCGAGACACAGATCTCCTAAGGAAAATGGTATGAAGATGGATGCAAAAGACCAGGGAAGCAATGTCAAGCCAAGAAACATCATGGAGAGGAGACTGCCACCAGGCACAAGGACCGCACTATGGGACACAGGCTCTCCCCCTAGAAGGAGGATTCCTAGCCTCCACAGCCAGGAGAGAGTAGCTTTCTATTGTTTTTCTAACACCCATCTCTGGTCATTGGTTACCAGCCCAGATAACAGCAAGCAGGTACTCACGTCCCCTGTGCCAGGGGCTGCCCAGTGGCTGCGATGAGCTTTGGCTTCGAGTAGAGCCAAGGGCACTGGGAAGAGTCCGTGTATTAATGTAGCAGGGGTCATCAAAGAGATCCACTCGACACGCATGCTTCATGGAGGAGGCATCTGGCTGGGGCTGCGGCCCTTGCTCGTGGGCATTACCTGTACAGAGAAGCAGCGCTCAGTGCAGGCTAACATGGGCTTTGTGAACGGTAAAACATATTGGAAGGCTACCCTAGACCACGACCAAATACTGACTTTTAGGTTGGACAAGCACCAGTCCTCAAGGAAAAACAAACAACAAACTACTGCTCTTTTTGTCCCATCGCTCTGCTGACTCATCACTTCAAACGTAGACAGGAGACAAGCAGAAATACTCAAAATAGGAATGACCAAGGAAAAGAGTCACTTATTCTAGCACTGACCTGCAGCTCAGAGCAACCCGGGAATGAGTCACATACATAGGATATTGAACTTGAAAGACTATTGTCAAAACTCTTTAAAATTTTCCTTTTTTTTTTTTTTGTCAGTTGTGGGGCTTGAACTCTGGGCCTGGGCACTATCCCTGCGCTCTTTAGCTCAAGACGAGCGCTCTACCGCTTGAGCCACAGAGCCACTTCTGGTTTTCTAGTGGTTTATTGGAGATAAGAGTCTCACACAGTTTCCTGCTCAGGCTGGCTTGGAACTGTGATCCTCAAATCTCAGCCTCCTGAGTAACTAGGATTATAGGCGTGAGCCACTGGTGCCCAGCAAAAATTCCTTAAATTGTTTTTTGGGGGGTACCAGTCAGTACTGGGGTTTGAACTCAGGGTGTCTGAACTCCTTTAGCTTTTCTTCCTCAAGTGTTGGTGTTCTGCCACTTGAGTCACAGTTCCATTGGGAGCTTTATTTTACTCGTTAATTGGAGGTAAGAAACTCATGGACTTTCCTGCTTGGGCTGGCTTTGAACTGTGACCCTCAAATTCTAGTCTTCAGAATAGCTAGGATTACAGACATAAGCCACCAGCCAGCACCTAGGTTGGTTGTCACTTTATTAAAGAAACCTTTTCTGTCTCCCAACCCCCAAATTAAGTTAGATTTCAATACTGTTTTTTTTTGGGGGGGTCCGGTCGTGGGGCCTGAACTCTGGGCCTGGGCGCTCTCCCTCAGCTCTTCAGCTGAAGGCTAGCGCTCTACCAGTTGAGCCACAGTGCCACTTCTGGCTTTTTTCTTTTTGCTTATGTGGTGCTGAGGAATCGAACCCAGGGCCTCATGCATGAAGGCAAACGCTCTACCACTGAGCCACCTTCCCAGCCCTCCATACTGTTTGTCTTCAGGCTGTCTTGGACATTGGAGACCATTTGTTGGCATGTGTGGAAGGTGTGTCTTCCCAGCACCAAACTCCAGCACCCAGTACAGTGCTTACACCATAGGAGGTTCTCAACATCCAGACCCAAGTTCAAAACCCAGTATTGGCATGGATGCGCGCGCATACACACACACACACACACACACACACACACACACACACAAATAATGGACAAAAGAAGGGTGTAGAGTTGGCAGAAGGGACAGAAATGGCAAATGGAAAGGAACGCTCTACCCACCTGTCACCCTGCCTTGCTCCAGACAGTTCTCATATACACTGCGGCACTTGGACTTGCCAGGCTGTATGAACAACAGAGCGTAAGACATTGACAAACAATCCACATTCAAACTCTTCTTTATTTTTAATCAGTGGTGGGGCTTGAGCTCAAGGCTAGAGCTCTACCACTTGAGCCACAGCGCCACTTCCAGTTTTCTGGTGGTTTATTGGAGATAAGAGTCTCACAGACTTTT